TGCAATCAAGCGGACGAAAAAATTTCTAATTTCCTAAGCCTCGTGCATCAGCCGAGAAGATCCACGCTCCATTTACGACCCACTGAATTGAAGCAGGAGCTATTGAAGCCATGAATCCCTAAGAACCGTTCCGAAAACACTGAATTCCGCGTGCTGTTATTGCAGCACACGGATTCTTTTACGAGCCAGTGCCTCCACCAGGAAAATTAACGGGAACTAGGTATTAAAGCGGTGATTTAGCTGCCTCGTAGAGGATTTTATTAAGTAGAAACGATGATAGCGGCTCCATTAACCTTCGTTCCGCCGCGGCGCCCCGGACCATTTTCGAAGGCGGCGGCGGTGATGGCGTCGCGCAAATACATAAATTTTGAAAGTCAAATTATCCCGACGCGAGGGATGTTTGCCGATTCGCGTACGTCCGTTCCCCCTTTGTTTGCTTTCACGGGGATCTGAATGGCCGCAATAGCTGGAACGTAACAGGGATCGCTGACACAGCACCGCGGATGATTCCGGTGTTAATATTATTAGACACGGCGGGCCTCGTCTCCTCCTGCCGACCTTTTCATTCCTCTATCCGCGGCTTTGAATATCCGTGACGTCTCGGCCGCCCCGGCGAAAGCAATCTCCGCGGATGATTACGAATACGGGAGTCATTAGAGACACTCGGATCGCGGTTTCTCTCTTTCATCTGTTTTCGGACGTTCCCCGCGCTCCGTTCTTGCGGCTGAAAGCTAGACACCGCGATACGGGCTTCGAGGATGAAAGTTATTAGAGATTATTCTGGGAAAGGGAACGAGGTGTGTAAGTACCTCTGAATTCCGTTTCTGGCTAGCCCGTTTAGAGACATCAATGCTTGCACGTTTCGCAATGGAAATTGTTAGCTGGTATTTAAGCGAAAGAACGAGCGACCGCTGAAATGGGGGATGAACGAGGCGAAACGGTTGATGCAAGTTTGTGATTGAGCTATTGAAAGCGAGAAGTAGATCATTGGCTCTAGGTTTTGAGGATCCTGGCTCTAGCTTAGAGGTTTTCGGGTCTAGTTTCGAAAGAGGTTCAGCCGAGTTTAAACAGAAACTAGATCTTATCGTTTGAAGATTTTTAATCAACCTATCATCCAATTTGTCAAATAATTTTAAATACCTGTGGATATTGGCACTGAACCCAAACTTTACAGCAGACTTTCCATCAATATTTATATTACATTATTTACCGACAGAAACAAAAAGACAATGCTATTAGATACAGCAACGGCTCGATTCCGTTTCACTTGCCATTTTTCTCAAAGAATAACGAACGATGTAACCGCGTTTCAGGGAGCACGACTCGCTCGTTACCGTTCGATTCAGACTAAAAACTCTCGAGGATCGCGTGGGTTCGATGCGGCGGAAGCCGTATTCGCGTGGAAGCGCGCCGGTGTATACATTTATTTATGAACTTTACCTGAGAGGGCATTACTCAAGCGCGGCGAGGATGCATCAGTCACTCGCGGCGCGCCGCTGTGCCGCGCTGGGAGAAACTTTTGTCTCGCGGTTCACGGGGGAAAGGCGGCGACGCGTACAGATCGCTGAAGAATCGGAAAATGGCAGCGTACAAAACCCCGGCCGCTACAATTACCAATTCGATGCGAAGTTTCATTCGTTCTCGAGCAGCCGCCTTGACTGGCCCGCGATTCCACTCGTTACCGCGAATGCTGCTTCATAAAATACTCTGTGATTAGCGCATTCTCTCGTTGCTCGCCATCGCTCCTTTCTGTTTACCCGTATCCGCGAATACGTTCGCCTCGTGAATTGGAACTTGGACATTTCGAAGATGCGGATATTAATATCGGAACTATCGAGCGATTAACTTGAATTTATAAGTTTTGCTGAAACTTGGAATTGTATGCTTACTGAGATATCATTTTTAGATTACTTTTGCATCCGTAGAAACAGGTATTAAAGATGACAGGCATTTTTCAAGTAGATTTATGTCTGACAATTGGCTTTTCTGGTTCAAGTAATATTGTCTGATCTTTGTTTCTATGTATGGAGTACCGATTTACATCCTGCTCGATGAAATTGTGAAGGGATATCAGGACGAGGGGTAACGATCCGTTGGATTCATTTTATGAAACTTTCTTATGTTCCGGATTTAGTGTGACGATTTTTATTATATCGGACGGAATCGGAAAAACATATCAGGAAGAGATAGACGCTGGAAGGATCCATTCGATCAGGGAATTATCCTCGAAATAAACTTTTATGTTTATCCTCTCGTTTTAAATACTCCGAGTTTTATTACGTCCAACGGAATTGTAAAGAGAAATCTGAAAGGATCCATTAGCCATGCTCCATTGAATATTCTTTGAAATTCAGTTTTTTTTTATTCGCTCCTCTGTTTCGAACGTGCCGATTTTTATCGCGTTTAACGAACAAGGATCCGAGAAACATAAAAAAGAATCGGTGAATGCTCGAGTGGCGACATACGGATGATCGATATCACCGGCACGTTCGGATGATCGATTTTTATTACATTCGGTGTTCCTATTCAAAGCTCCAGCCCCGAACGAAGCAACTAGAAATGATATATATGAAACAAGGCTGATGGTTTGCATTGTTTGGAACAAAATTTATGGACGTGAAAATGATAAACAGGGGTCGGGAGGGATAGTAGCTCTGTAGTATTCCATTGGGAGCGAGGAATAGTAAAATATATACAAAATTCTCATACATCCAAATCGTTTTTCCGAATCGTCGAATCATAAAATGATTCGAATATTGAAGTCTGCTCAGGGACAAGTCCAGAAATAATTAATAGTGTTAATAATGATCGAAGAAGTCTCTACCAGTGTAGCACGGTGTTTAAGGACAAGTGCACGTTTACCGTAATTTGTTGGGGGTCGCAGAGGTCTAACCGGCATCACGCAGGTCGGGAATCCGAAATTTTTGAATCACGATGGCTCTTTATCCCGGCGGATCATTAGCGGAGCTAGGCCAGGGAAAATCGCGGACGAGGCTATTCAGGATTTTTCATTCTTTCGAAAACGCGGTTCGCTGGAAATGTCGCATTCACCCCCGTCCCCGCCTCCACCTATCGATCCCCCGGAACCGAAAATTCCCGGGTGTACAATAACGCGACCGGCGCGACGCATTTGTATAATTGGAATTGGAGGCAACTGAATACAAGGAGCCCACGCGCGCAACGAGAACTGTACAATATACTCGGTGACGCGAAACTGTCATAGCCAGAGTCGGGATGATGAGGAAACGACTATTTTTCGGGATCAAAAATGTTTCGGCTATTTTCACTGTTGAATCTTTGTGTCCTGAGCGAGGTTATTGTCAGTTTTCATTGTTATTTTTATTATTGACACGCCGCGGACGATCATTAAAGATCATATATACCAATATCTAGTCGTACTGATAATTTTCACGAGACTTTCAGCACGCCACAAGCGCATAAAGATCGCCAATCTAAACGCGACGTTGTTTTTACGGAGTAGAAAGATCTGTCACCGACACGATGATTCATCGCAAACAGATATCGTAATGCGTAGCTATAACCGTACGAGCAGCGATAAACAAGGGAAATCCGACGCGAAACATTAATTATTCGAAAAGAAGAGAGATGAATCATAATGCTCGCGTGAGCTGAAGCGCCGGTGCACTGTACTTCTCTTTTCCTTTCCATCGGGTTTGATATACAGTGCCTCGTAACACGTGTTATCGAACATCCTACATGAACTCCTCCTTTTTATACAATCACGGAAACGCGTAGTCGTTTCCGCAATTCCGAGGATAACCAAAAAGAATGTCAGTAACTTCGAATCAACATCGATATCGATCACAGCATCGATTTAATGTATCAACAAAGAATAACTCCTGTCCTGTTTGCTAATACCAACACTACGATCTTCCTGCGAATTCACGTTTCCAATCACTGTCTCCTCGCATCGCCATTATCATCGGCGTTCCCAAATAATTTCAGCCAAACGCCAGCCCCAATTCGGCCGACGGCAAAGCAAACCAACGGCACCCTTCCATTCGGATTCGCGTCTCTCCTGTCGTTCGTCCTCGACACTCATCGTCAAGTTCGTTCACCTTCCGCGGTATATCACGCGGCTCGCGATGCGCCCTCTTCTAAAGAAACGTTTCGATCTTCCCCACCCTCCTCCTTCACCCTCATGCCACTACGGACGTAGATAATATACGAATTGGAAAACGACGATGCACAACAACCCGTGACAAACGAGCTCCCGTCCGTCCTCGACGGGGGGCGGCGCTCTGGAGACCGAACGAAAGTCGGAAATGGATTCCTCGGAGGGCGAGGGGGTGGACTCGGCGCAAATGAGGGTAGACCGCGATATAATATCACGGAGCCCGACAGAGACGTCTCGGCTAAATTCAATAGGAAATCCGGCTCGAGGCGGCGGAAACGTCGTCCTTGTCCTTCTTCCTGTCTATCCTCTCGGCCATCCTCTTTTCAACCGTTCAGCGTAGTTGGGCGGAATGGGATCTGATTATATATTAAGAGTAACGATTGAAATGCAATTTTTCATTCAGCCGCGTGTTATTGCGGACGAATGTTAAGTAGGAGCTGTTGGAATTCGGCTCATTCTTGTAGATCGGTGGCAATTGAACTAATTGTAAGAGGTAATATTGCTACTTAGCGGCGACAGTGGTCACAGTTTTGAGAACTGTTTATTTTAGATTTCAATGAAAATTTTAGATCTGATTTGTAAAATTAGTTAAATTATTCGAATTCTCAAACACTTAAACAGTCATACTCTCAAACTCTCAAACTCTCAAACTCTCAAACTATCGAACTATCAAACTTCCAAATTATCAACCCTTGAAACTTTCATATTTGAATTCGAGTCAGCAGCAGCAACACACAATAGCATTACATTTTACGCAACTCCGCCTCCAAGCCTGTCCCCTCGACCCTTCGATGACACGTAACACACCGACAAGAGATCATCGTATTGTGTCTAATTGCATCCGTTGCCGTTTTTGTTTCAGGATCTCTCGACGGATGAGTAACGAAGCGTGGCCCGGTCTCGAGGTACGGACCGCCCTTTTCTTCCCTCTAACGAACCGTCGCGCGCCCAGTACTTTGTATCCCGTGCTTCCCGTGCTCTTTTGTTTCCCCCCGTTTCCCGCCCGCCACTGTACGCTTCTCCACTGAACACACTCTTCTCTCGCTGGTCCACGAACCAGCGAACCTTCGCGTTATAATCACGAAAGGGAGCACGAAGAGGCAGGGGTAATCGAATCGGGCGTCTTCCCTCAAAATCGCGTTAGTACGTTTGATCTACGAGGACAGCGATGTTCTTTGTGTTTTTTTTCTATTTCCCTTTTCCCCTGTTACGTGGGCTACTTTTCAGGCCGCTTGCGTCCTGATCGCGGAAACCTCGTGTTTCGGTTGGGTTGCGCATTAAGGGAGGCTTTCGCTTTGTTTCAGGGCTGTAGAGACTACTGTCGTTTGGCAGAGTTCGTTGGAAGTCAAATGAAGTGTGTAACATATTTAAATTCAATGTCGTTCAGTGCAGGATTTTATAAAAAATAATTGGTAATCGAAAGCGATCAATAAATTCCTCTATAATAGACGATATTCCGAAATTTGTTCGCAGGAATTTTTTAATCGATTATGTATAATATTCTATATATTTTAATAAAGATTTAATCACTGGAATTATTCTAGTAATGGAGGAAGGGAATGAAAAGCAATTAAAAAAGGTAATCATTTTTCTCTGCAGCTCCTATTCTCTGCGAATTCCATGGGGAAAATTGTATTACTCCGCTACAAAAATGTAACAGTTATCGTAACTGTAATCGTAGATTAGTATCAAGCAACGCTTACGAATCGAAAAGGTCGTAATCGAGCTGACAGTTAACGCTTCCACCGCGATCGACGCGCAATCAGCTTATATTAAACCGAACGGTGGCGTGCGATCGGTTTCACGTCGATAAAGAGAAACGCCGGACAAACGAGGAATAAAAAAAAATGTTTTTTTTGCGCCGCGAACAAAGGGCGCACGGATGAAATTTTTCCGAGCACGTAGGCGGCGAGTTTTAATAACAACCTCGGTTCAATTGCGAGGTAAACATTCACCGGTTGCTACTGCAAGTTTCAGAATAAATTTTTCACGATACACCGACGTTGAAACTTTTCGTTTGTCTTTATTTGTTAAAGTACTCGGAGCGCAAGCGAAGTGCGCGAGTCCTTGGAAAGGACCTCGACTCGACGAGGACTCGGCGAACAGTGAGCTTCCTCATCGACTCCCTGGAAACGTAATTATTTTCGTTCCCTGCCCGTCTTTAATTACCACAATTAGGATAATTACTTTCGAATTCAACGTTGCATTAAATCTACGTGACGTCTGACGGCTGAGCGATCCGACGTTCGCGGCGTAGCCGGTTCTACGCGTCACCCGTCAGGTTAAAGAAATTAGCGGAACGGTGTCTGGTAAGAATACATTCGTGTAATGGGATTGGTTAAGAATATATTAGATCGTCTCAATTCGCGTGGTTCTTGTTTCAAATTGAATGATCTCGTTAGCAGGTGTCGCTCTAACTGCACTTCGTTTCGAGTTCTGTGTGATAATTTATTCGACGAATCTCTGGTGTTCTTGGAAATCTGCCAGTTCAAAAATATCTTCCAATTTTCCGCGGTTTCATTAGTATGTTTGCCGCACGAATCATTTTTAATTTTTAATCTTTAGAGTTATATTTTTGTAACTTTATCGATTGCATCGTTCGTATCTTCCTTTCTTCGTAATTTTTTGTTTATTGCTCTATAGGATTAACGGTAGGACAGAAACTGATCGAGAAATACAGGCAAATACAGATAGGAAATTAATCGGTTTTCTTCCGTTAATAGATTTTATTCGAATTCGAAGCAAGTTCCTTTCATATCCGAATTATAGGAACGGGACGCGGATCAGAGTCGCGTCACTCAGTTTTAATTTGAATCGCGCGCATCGGGTCGGTTAAAATGTAATCGACGCTGAATAATCGCGGCGGTTCTGAACGCGGCTGAATGAAATTCTTCAACGCCGGTCATTAATCGACGCACGCGGATTCCATTTCATTTCCCGGCGATTCCGATCCAGGGTTTCACGTACAATTTATCGTTAGACAGCGAATGCGAAGAATTTCGTGACCGTGGCTGGGGACGCCACGTTTTCACGGCATAACGAATATCCCCGATGCACAGCAGCAGAAAACTCGTTCGGATTCGTTATCCGTTGGAACATTCGAAAATGAATCGAATGAGATTCGAATATTTTCGTAATATAATTTCTTATAGTCATATTATCCGACCCTTTATCTCTAGTTTCAAATATAATTACTCCGGAATTCCCAGCATTATTCGAGTCCCGATTTATTAAAAAATTCTCTTTTTCAAGTTCTAGCAAACATGCTCCGATGTTTCTCTGATAATTAAAAATATAATTACTCCGGAATATTTGATATCCCTCGAAATATGATTTAAAATTCCCTCCTTTCCGTTTCACGGTAAAGTAATTATCCGGGGTAGCACATTATTCAAATGAAATTCGAACAATCTTGTAATACAATTCCCTACAATCATATTTCTACATTTCTCGTATAGTTATAAACATGATTATTCGTGTTATTATAAACATGAAACTAAAAGTTACTCGTGTTTCATTTCAGCTGAATACGAATATCGAATTTGCTGGGATAGCTGCGCGCGGCAACGCGTAAACATTTCTAAAGGAATAATTTCCATTTTAATCGGATCGGACAACCCTTGGAAATTTTACATCGAGCATTGGTTAAACAACATACAAGGTTTATTCCCTGCTAAGTCGTCACTATACGCGACGCGTTTCGCTAGTCGAAAGAATACGCCCCACGGTGACCGAATATTACAGAGAATTAATTATGAAATGTGCCCGCGGGATGTTGTTATAATTCGAATTCACGGCGCAAAGGAATTCTACGCTAAAATGCGAGTCGAAAGCGCGGAATAAAATTTGCCCGCGTGATGCTTCGTTCCAGAATAATCTCGTTTGAAAATTAACGTGCCCGGTCATGGATTACGGTTTCTACTTGCCGCGGACGTCGACGCGTGCGCGAGACAAACGCTGCAAGTCGATTACCTCTGGAATGAGGACCGGCACGGGCAAATTTCATTCCACGTTATCGACACACTTTTTTCCCAGTAGAACAGTCCTCTACCGGTTTAGAGTACAATTTTCCAAATACCGTGCGTATGATATTAAAGAAGAGTGCTCCAGAGAAATTTGATAGCTCGTTAAGAGCTATCAAACTAGGGAAAAAACGGTCACTTCATCATTCTATTTAAAAAATTCAGGTAATCCCGGAAAAGCTCACGTCGGACGATCAACTCGACTGTTCCACTCAACGGAAACACAATTATTTCGCTCTTCTATTCGACAAAATTCACCTATCCCCGAAAAATCATTTCATCGAACCAACGCGTCTATCGCGTCTAACCAAAGAAAAACGAAGTTTCTATCTAAACGGCGCTTCATCCGTTCCATCTGCTGCACGATCGACGCAGTTAGCGTCGGGCAAACGGAAATTATAAAGCGGTAGCCCTAGAAACTCGAACAAGCTTACAGCGGCGCCAGAAACGTTTGGCCAATTAACGGCGGGGATTAAAAGATTCTCAAACGCGAGAAGTAATTTGGACGTTAGCTCGGTGTCGGGCCAGCTCGCGGAACTTCGTAGCAGCGTTTAACCGGCCAAAAACCGTGGAACCGGTCTACGGGGATCGTTAGTAAGCAATTCCTCGCGGGCGCGACCGCGCGATCGTCTCATCAGCCGAACCGGCGGCCGCCCAGTTATATTTTCCCCATCAACACCGAAATTCCTGTAATCGAAAATCAATGGCTCCGGGTCCCGGTTAACGTTCTTTTAAAGCTCCGGCCCGCGTTCATTAAAGGAGGCGTCGTCGGCGTCGTCTTCGATCCCATCGAAACGCCTCGTCGACGCTGTAATTAACGAAGTTTAATCTGAAATCGGGACGATTGCAATCAGGATGCGTGGTCCCCGGAGGCACCGTTTGATAGCGACCGCCTCGGGCGGATCCGAGCTGAATGCGTTCCACGAAAATCTCTGAATAAATGAACGGCGCACGATTCCGCTCGGTACTCCTCGAGTCGTCGACGTTATTGCGATCGAAAGATGAAAGGTCAATCCGTACAATCCGATTTCGGAATGAAATAAATTCGACCCGGGCTCCAGGAGCTTGCTACGTACTTTTATATAAGCTTCGTCAACGTCTGAGATGTCCTTTTGGAATTTCTAGTAACGGTTCGCCTTGTCTGCTTGCGAAATTTCTGGAAATAACATGTCGGGAAAATGGAGAGTTCGACGGTTTATTGGATTCGGAATCGAATCTTTCGGTGAACCCCGCAATTATGGTCGTGATTAGCTTGTTGGGGAAGTTCGGAACAATTGTTCGAGAGAAACTACTAGGTTCGTTGTACGATACAATGAACAGTGTAGAAATATCGAAACCATTCGTCCATTCCGCTAATAACCGTTCCACAATGATGCCAGCACAACGAAAAGACAAATACAATTGAAATACAACCAATCGCGCGAACCCCGACAATCGGCCAACACGCGATTCGTCAAAATCGCAAAAGTGCAATATCCGTCCTCGAAAAATCAATTGAAAAAACTTCTATCCCGATGCGAGGCACAATAAAAAACCGAACAATCGTTTGATCGGAAGCGGAATCGCGTTGTGTATGTCCAATATTCGTTGGTTCTTGCACGCTCCGCTCGCCCGGGCAGCGATAATTAGCCGTGTTTAATAGCCCGCCGCGCCGGTCGGCCGTGATCATGGGTCGCTTGATTTCTGGTAGAGCGGGCCGAGTGCCTCGGAGAAAAACCCAGGTCGATCGACGTTCGGCCGTGTTTCCATGGCCGGGGGAACCCGAGCGGAACACGGCCGAATGGAGACGCGGATTAAAGATCGAGAGCGCGCGGCGAAGAATCGATGACGGCTCGGCCGGAAAAGCTACGCCACGTACGCGAACCGCGCCGATATGCAGAGCC